GCCACTGCACCAGGGTCTACAGAGCCCCTGGCCTGGCTCATTACTTGCGGCAGGTACATGCACACCTCGGTGTGAATAGCAGCAAAGGGATGGGGGTGTATTGCCACAACAAAAATTGGGCCACTTGTAACTTTGGCATGGCAGGGGCAGGCAGTAGGGAAGCTGCAAGTCAAGGTTGGGGTGTTTTTGGCACTCTGCCCAAAAACATTTCCAATCCAATATAGGAAGCAACTCAACAGCACTTGTCCTGCAATGTCTGCATCTTATGTCCAGACCTGCTCCCCTGTGCTAGCATGCTTGGCATTGACAGCTTGTTCCATTTGGGGATCTCCAAGCATAGCCCAAAGGTCAGCATGAACACCACCTGATAAGAGAAGTGGTCCAAGATCACCTAAGCCAGTCTGTGAGGGCTGCATAACGTGTTCAAGTGATCAGGATAATTCTCCTGGGTTTGTTTTCCTGGTAGAAAAACTTCCTCGGAAACACCTGAACTGACACTTGAATGCTGAGCAACTGAGGAGCAGACTGCTTGCAGTGCTGACCTGTGCAGCCAGGTGGGGCCTGTGCATGTATCTCAGTGTGCTCTCTAGACCCCCTCCATCTGCCTGGAGAGAGATGGCAGCCCACAGGGTAGCCCTGATTTGCTGACCCAGACTGCTCAATCAGCCTGCGTCTCCCTGCAGCACAATGTGGGAATTGTGAAGGGTTATGTTCTGCTTCTTCCTCAGTTGGAGCAGTACAGTCCTGCAAGTAACACGCTATCTCTCCTAGGGGAGAGGAGAGGGGAGCAAAGCACCCTGGAATGGTAGGGGACTGTGCTATGGCTCCTTCCAGAAGAAAACATGTACTGACATTTGGTCTTCCAGGAGAAACTCTCCTGAGAGTGACTTAACCTTGGTTGTGCCTGGGTTATTTGTCTCCTGGAGCAGCCATTTTTTGCTGTGGAAGATAAATCCTGAATATCTGTACACTTGTAGTTGGTACTGGGAGAGCAGCAACTGTCCCAGGAAAAACTGAATGTCTGTACATGGCCCAGGTTTCCTCAATGTCTAACTTCATCCTCTGCAGCCTGGGGAACATGCTAAGGGAATTTAGGTTTCAAACTCAACACATCAAAAATTAAAGGAGCAATACAAACCTTTAAACTGTTTTGTTTTAGGTTACTGGCAGATTCAGGAGCACACAACATGGTCACTGTTTACACTCAGGGTATTCTCACGTTTATCTTAATGATGAGGGATTCTTTATTAAAATAAATAAAGCAAAATCAAATCAAATCCTGCCAAACAACTACTGTTTTGGCACAAATTCTGCAGTAACTTTCATGAAACAATATACAAGGTACTGACTACAATGCTCTTCAGGCTAATTTTATACCGAACCAATGAGTTAATACTTTACTTCTTTCTGAGCCTATGTGGGCTAGGAATGGATTTAATCTCATTTATCTTTTAACTCCCACCTATAATTTCTTTCTTCTGTTCTACTGAAGGAACCCTCCCACCTCATAGCATGCAACTAAGAAATTACCAAATGAGAGGCAGACACAGTTTTAGAAATAACATTTTTAGTATTACAATTTGTTTCATAATGAAATACTGTTAGAGATATTCTATATTTGAACATTTCTAGCAAAATGCTTTTTAAAAAACGTAAGGCACTTTTTTTACAACTTTGAACATTGGTTTTTACATGACAAAAATTCAGCAAGATGGCTGGATGAAAACCCCTAATCCTTCAGTGTTCAGTACAAGATCAATGCTCTGGTTGAACAAGCAAACAAAGCCATCAATAGAGAGGTTTCCAAGGTGGAGTTATTCCTGCATTAGAGTGCACCCTGAAGAAGTGTATTTGAAGGATGTTGAAACTACTCGAGCAGAGCGGGGGAAAAAATCATCTGCCTGGTGTGAATAAGATGCATTAAAAACAGTTCTTTGAACTTGGTAACAAAGATGCATTGTGGGGATTAAGTTTCATTACTTTCATTGGATTAAACTCCTTCCATTCATTACTGCCAACAGGAGTAAGGAACAAAAAGGAGCCAATTCCTTCCCAAACAATTCAATCCAAAATTTCAAAGGCAGAAATGAACACGACAGAAAACCATGAGAAACTGCATCTGGCCACTTCAGAACTTGTCCAAATGTTCATTATTGACTTCTGCAAGTCTTGCCTCTTACTGAAGAGAAACATAAAAGAACTGGCAACTGTGTAAACTGCTTCCAGTCAAGTAGATATTTTTGCTTCTTTTAACATGATCCCGCTCTTCACATTAACTACCTTCATTCAGAAACTTACCATCAGCTCTTCTTGGCAGAGATGAAGGGGAAAGGGAAGAATGTGCACAGGACTCTCAACACAGCAGGGAATGCAGAATGATAACCCAGCTTTACATCTTTCTCAACTTAAAACTTTGTATCAAAAGGGGGAAATGCTGAACAGATGCAGCAATAAGGGAAAAAGTTCTGAAACAATGATTTTGCCTGTAGAAGGCAGAGAATGGGGGACTGCAGCCCACTAATTAACAGAATAATTGTAACTGTGGCCAGGCCAACATCTATGTACCTCATGTCTCCTTTGCCAGGGGAAGTGAAGGACAGAAAACAGGCTCCTCCTACCACCCAGCTAGTGCCATTTCAGAGCTTTCAGGATCTCCTTCCCAACCAAGCCTTGTACAGCTGGCTGCAGTTGTATTTGATTCTGGCTAAATTTAATCTGAATGCTACCCTACTGGGTTGTGTGCAAATAGATTTCAAAAGCCATGTAACACCTACAGCTTGGCTGTCAAAGAGGGATGTGAATGGAATCACAGTCACATGTGGACTTGAGAAGGTAAATTCTGGATTAGTCACTGATACTTATATAAAAAAAAAAAGACCATTTCTTTCAAATTCTAGTTCTTTACAAGGGACATTTAGGGTCTCAACAAGCATACTTTCAGTGCTACCAGAGACTGAAAAGCAAGGACTTGATCCTGAATACCTAGGCAGACATTAACATTTCAAATGCTTTGTTTTTTAGGTCACCATTAAGGGAAAATTGTGGTCTAGAGCAGCGTTTCTCAACCCATGGGTCGTGACCTAAAAGTAGGCTGCAAGAATACATTAAAGGGTCACAAACAAACTTTAAAAATGAATGCTCCTTTAAAGGAGAAAAACATGGGAACCCGCAGCTTTTCCTTTGCAGGCTAGAAGAATCCCAGCCTGTAAGGGGCTGCTTGGGGCGCCCCACACACACACACACACACACTCTCTCTCTCTCTCTCTGGGGGTGGAGGCAGTGGGTTGGGAGTGAGGGGCACTGGGTCAGGACTGGCCATCGATGTTTACAAATGGGTCCTGGTACAAAAAAGGTTGAGAACAACTGGTCTAGAGTGTGTTTCTTCTCACTAAAGTTAATTACAAAAAGTAAATTATGAAAGTGCTTTAATAAAGTATCAAACAGTTAAACAGAACAATTAACAAAGAGCTGCCAAAGATGCACTCAAACAGCTAGATTAATTTTCTGAAAGCCTGAGGAGCATACAAGTTGTTTGGAAGTAGGGTTTAAAAAAAAAAACTGTACTGGTTTGTTTTGCATAGACCAGCAAATAACCTGCTTTGCTCCTATATTCAAATGCAGAGCTGGATTTGTTGCATTTCAAGCTACCTCACAAAGACAGCTTTTTGGGAAGTATCAATAAAATGGCAGCTCTCCTTGTGGGAAATGCATCACCCCATAGGGAGACTTAGAAATCCCTGTCAGTTTCACACTGTTTAGAAATAAAGTTATTTCTCAATGTTTAGCTATAGTATTATAACCATTCTCTGCATTTTTCCTTTAAATACAGTTTGAGAAAACTCAGTGTACTAGCTGAACAATCCACCACATTGCATAAACTTTTAAACATTGCAATGAATGTAAACTAAGAAATACACAAGAGCCTGCACCATCAACTTGATGCCTGCACAGCCAGCTCAAGCACCTTGTCTTCTGTTTCTTCCCACTAGCTCTTCTTTTCATACCAGAAAGGTGGAAGAACACAGTGCTCTTGGCATTGTCCTATTCTGTACTTTCAATTTAAGGAAGCAGTACCTTTGGGAGGAAAAATAAAGTTTACAAAAAGCCATGCAACAAGTAGCTCTTATTTAACTAAAACCACTTTCCTATCTACTGGAAGACTGGCATCCTCGTATCGAGGGACTGCTGCCACCAACAGGCACTATCTTAGCCATCCAGGTCTTGATTAAACAGAAAGATTAATCAAGAGTTGCCCATACAAGTTGCAGAGGTTTAAGAGCAGACTTGCCCCACTAGAATCAGAGTTCAAAGCACATTACTGGACAACACATTTGGTCCTTTGCTTGGAGGCACATGGCTTTGAAACTGAACTGACATCAAGTCTCAGTGAGACAACTTGTCTATATTTTGAGGCAAGATGCACCAGCTGCAATTAGAGAATCAGGATGGACTTAAAGAGGATGCAAACAGCAGCTCAGTATAAAAAGGCAGATAAATACCAAATAAGGCTCAGTTCTAAGGCTGTAATATCCACAACAGGACGGAGATCCCAAGTCTGAAGCAAAGGAAGGGTAACCAGAGATTAGAAAATCCACACCCCATAAAAAGAATTCTTACTTTGGGAGCTGTCTGAAAATGTAACTGGAAATCAAGGAGAGAGCAGGGTGCTAAAGCGTGATACAAAGAAAAAAACCTCTGCTGACAAACAGCCTTGAGTCCACACACATTCACAATATAGGTGTAATGCCATTTCTGATTTACTGCAGTGTTATGTCCTGGGGCAGTCTCCTTTGCTTCATAAGGTGCTTAGCAGTTCAGTGAAGTGTCATGCTTTAGAACCCATTTAAACCACCCTCCTAACCAGAGCAGGTCCCATCTCCCCTTTTCAGGCAGACCTCTCAGAAAGCAGACCTTTGTGGTGGACTTTGTACCAACCACTAGCTCTGGAACACTCCTACATGCAGGTGCATCATTAAGTTAGTTCTTCTAAGTAGCATTGAACCAAACAATCCTACATTTGCTTAGATGATGTTCTGCCCCCATGTGACTTGACGGCAGTTTCTATAAGACCCTCAGACTTTGCAGTTCCATTATTCCTTTTCTAACATGTTTCTTTTCCAGTCTTTTCTCCCTCAATCCCTTTTATCCAAGAAGAACTTTCTGCATCCTGTGTGCAGCAGCAATGGCTTCATCCTCTGAATCAGACTCGCTCTGAGAAGTGGAGCTCTGAGAGGCAGAGCTGCAGGGGGAGGAGCATTCTGGAGAGCACAGGTAGTGCATCAGTGGGAGGCGGTACTTCCCACAGAAGTCAACAAACTTGATTTGTCGGACGCAGCTGTCGAAGTAGACACCTGCAAAGAGAATGAACATAGGGCAGATTTTAGAAAAGAAATGATGCCTCAATGATTTGGCTGAAAAAACTATATAATTTCTTATCCACGTACGTCCACTTAAGATGGAATTAACCAGGAGAGGTGATGAAAAGCATTGTAGAGGGGGAGGAAGAAGAAAGACTTTGGAGAAGAGAAGGGAACAGTGTATTTGTGGACTATCACAGATTTAATTCTTTTTAGACTTAGATCATATGTAGCTTCTGGTAATTCATGTACTGACTAGATTTTATAGAAAAACAGGCAGTTTGCTAAGTCTCTGCACACCACAGATTTCATGCTGAGACCCAACAATCTAATCCTGCTACATTCCTACCAGTTTGCTTGTTTGTGAGCATATATTTGCTAAGTAGTCACTAGCATGACTAGGAGCAGGGCAGTGGAAAAAAAATCAGGACACTTGTGTTCTATTTTCAGCTCTGCCAAAATTTCATTGCTGGTTTTGCAACTCAAGGGAAAATGGATCGATTTAAGCCCCATCTATAAAATGGAGATACTCAGCTGCCACCTGCTAGGGGTTGGAGAAAATTCTTAAGCAACTGAGATCTCCAGGTGAAAGTTTAGAAGGGCAAGAGAGTCTCTGGAAAAAGAAACAATGGATGATTCATTACACAGCAAAGGAGATTTTTCCAAGAATTGAGAAAATTTCATGCTGGGAGCTGCCAAACATACCCTTAACATTAAATCCATTTGCCCGCTGTACTTCCCTGTTTGACAGGCCCCTTCTACCAGCAGACAAAGGTGTGTATACAAATAAAAGCTCTCCCTCTCACTGCCCCATTTCTCTTCTGCTTGACTGAAGTCGTCATGCTGAGTTTAGATGCTATTTTCCATGGGAACAGAATGATGCCCTAACACACAATTATGTTCTCCTCTTGCAGAGAGGCCAATCTTTGACATGGACATTTTCAGAATGGATGGTCTTTTTTAAAATTCTATTTGGTTTGGAGCTAGCTCTTTCCAACTTTAACGGCTGCCTCCCCCCATCCCCCTTCTCCCGAAAGTGTGTATAACAGAACTGGAGCGTGGTGCTAGTTCATGGGGGAAAAAAAAGAAAAGGAAAAAACAGTCAGAAGAGAATGAAACCTATCGACTGTTATTGTCTAAGCTACACACAACTCAGAAAAGAAGAAATTTCCCTTCCCTCTCCTCTCAACACATCGGGCCCCTCCTTCCTTCCAGCCATCCCATTTTGAAGTTGTCCTACATGGATGTAATATTTGGACGAAAAATGCTACACATGTTGTTTGGAACTCCTAAGCTTGCACAACACCTACAAAACCGCTTGCACACATACATGTCTGCACATACATTATAGTATTATATATAGTTTTTCAATCCAGAACAATGTCTTTAGTTCTGGCTGAACTGGTGTGATCTGCATTTCCTCCCAATTAGAGAAATGAATCTGCAAGGCAGTGAATCTTCCTAAGGACACCCCATAACATAGTGCTCTTGGTTTGCTGGTTTTACAAAAAAAAAAAAAAATTTCCTACCACATGTGCTAAACTGTTCTGGGATATATGCTTCAAGAAATGTCAGAACATACTGGTTCAGTTGCACTGTTTTAACAGGGTGTTCTGGAGATGTGCCCAAACAGTGTTTCTGCATTCCTATGAAGAGGTCTCAAGCCAGTGCTAGGGTTTTAAAGTGTCCCTGGAGGGATTTCCCCTGCTTTGGATAGGAACACGTAAGTTAAGAAACAACAGTGACAAAGTCACTGAAAGGATAAGCATATTCAAGTGCACCCTTACTAATAACATTTTTAACTGAAGACGAGAACAGCTAAGTGCAATCCATGTATTAATTCCGGCATAACTGTGGATATATACAATACCTGGGGCTAGTGAAACACTCAGCAGGCATTTCCTGATACAGCAGCACATGCAGCTAGACTATGAGGGATGAGATAGTTATAAAGGGATGTATAATGAAATGAAAGCAGGGAGAAGAGTGGGAACTAGAGAGCAACCAACTTACCCCCACATTTGGGATTGGGACAGTTGCTGGCCAGGTTCAGATATTTGAGAAGATTCTCAGGGAGATCACTGGGACCATAGGGAACGTTGCGGGCTTTAATGGTTCGCCCAGCCAGTTCCTGGAGACTTGGGGGATTGTAGGTCAGGTCACGGACAAACCGAACCACCAAAGGGTTCCCACGCAAACTCAGCTCTTCCAGGTGAACCAGGTTGAGGATCTCCCGGGGGAGGTATGTCAACAGGTTGTTGTGGAGGCTAAGGGAACGTAGGGAATGCAACCTGAAGAGCAAGAGGAAGAATCCAGAGGAGCAAGCAAAACTTGTCTGCATTCATATTACGAAGTACAGCCTGCTTACCACACCTCTTGCCCATTTTTCTCTGAGTTTCCTCCTCAAAGCACAAAGTCATGCTAAAACTGCTGGTGTTGGCTTAGCATACAGAATACCCAACATAAAAGCCTTGCTCAACTACTAAATGCCTGGTAAGGAAGTAAACTTGGTCTGAAACACATCCTGCACCCACCCTAAAAAACATAATAAAGAACAAAAGCAGTGCTACATAAAATAGATGTTCTTAAAAGACTAATGTTTCCATGCACTAGGGGCATGCATCCAAAAAGGCTCTGTACAATACTCTGATATGTCACTTGCTTTCATTCATGTATTAAAGATGAGTGCACTGCAGCCACCCAGCTCTGGGAAACCCCATGCTTTCATTGTTCCACCTTGTGCTGTGATCTGGTCAGATCTAGAGCTCAGCAAGGTCACAGTGATGTCTGTATAGGTGACACCCCACCTGCTGATCCTGTAGGGGAGCTCACCCTTCTTAGTAACCATAAAACCAGGGCCCCAGGACAGTGCCATAGGATGCTACTTGGAACCATTTTCATGTGTGACAAAACCAAGGTCATGAGCACCCAGAGTCATTAAAGGGCCCACGTCAAAAGAAGGAGTGCCAAGACTTGCAACTCCATTTAAGTTCCACCTTAGGCTCCCATCCCTTTAGCTTAGAGTTTCAATTGCATATCAAATTCTTCTTCATTTCCTGTCTTAAACTGTTGTATTGGGTTTTTTCCTTATTATGTGCTGGATTAAAATGTTCCCTTACCCTTCAGGGGTTTATTGTGAGGCTAAGCAAATATTAAAGTATTTTGAGATCCCTAGATGAGAGGTGTTATAGAAAAACAAAGGAGCATGCAGTATCACCAAAAGGTCTGGGTGCAAGCAAAGCAGGCTGAGTGCAACCCAATGAAGATGTGAAAGGCAGCAGTTTACTGCACTACTGGAACTTTTGCACTTCCTAAACCTGTGCTTAGATGCTATGGTGACATGTCTTACAATCAAGACTTAAGTAGATATTAACTAGTGCCCATTCATAGTATTTCAAATCAATTCTCTTTGCACCATACATTTACAGTCTTTTTGCAGTGCCTGAGCCTAAGAACCTATCGCTACAGATCTAACCCGTGATTAAAAGCTAAAGAGCAAGTTGGTTCTCCCAATTACTCTCATCCACACTTGTCTGATGAAGAATGTTTTGAGTGTTAATTATAGCTGGTGTATGAGAAAAATAAAGTAGTTGGAAATACTCACTGAGCCAGCTGTGGCGGGATACTTTGGATCTTGTTGTCACACAGTACCAGGTAGCTTAGTGAAGGCAGGTTTGCTAACTCAGGTGGGATTGAAGTAATGAAATTCCCTCCAAGGTATAAAAACTCCAAGCTGAAAAAGAAGAGAAAACACTGGGTTATTTTACTGAAGTCATTACCAGTTTGATTGTCACTGGGTTTAACACCTCATGAACATCTAGAAAAGGATTACAGCTGCAAATGTGAAATTTTCTCTAAGACAGAGTCTTAGTAGAGTCTTCAGTAAACATAATGACATAATAGAGCTTCTACCCACCTCTAGGTTACATTGAGCGTTGCTTTCTGATTAAAAGTCAGTAAGTGCTCCAAAACCCACAGGATAACTCAGTTGTCTCAAAAATTTCTGAGAGACCATTAGCAACTCAAATTTGTGGTGATTTGAGCAAGGGGGTCTTGATATACAGCTATCTTCCCATCAGCCATTTACAAAATCACCTGGATTCTCTATCCAAGACATGTTTAGGGCTCCAACAGTATCTCTAATCCTTCTCCACCTGTTTTCAGTCACTCAAGTTTGACCTCAGTAGGGACATGGAACTTGATGCCTATGGGTCAGCACAAACTAAACTTATTTTTCTAGAAGTGAAATAAATACATGTATACTGCAGGACTAAGGCTCCTTGTTAAAGGCAAGGAATGTATAGAAAATGTGTCATGGTAGTGTGTGGCTCAGGGTGATGTGCTCTGGGCATTGCACCTGAACTACACCATTGTATTACCAGTTCAAGCCCTGCACTAGTGATGGTGCTTAAATGGGCTGGGAAATAAGAGAAAAAGTTTTAACCATAAGCCAAGCCTTCAGGTTAAGAGCAGTATTCTACAAATGCTCAAAAATTCATATGCAGACTCTAGCTTTAACTTAGAAGCATTGCCCAGGAAATTAATTTTGATTAAGTAGAGGGAAGATTCTAGACTAGTAAGCAATTAGGGCAATATAGTGCTGACTCACCCTCCACCAATTTCCTGAACAAGAGTGAGTGTGAGCAAAAAGAAAGTCTCTGGATCATTTGGTCACAGGAACAAGCTACAGTCTCCTCCCCCCACCAAAGTCCTTATCTTCCCCATGTTGGCTCCAGCACTGAGGTAGGGAGGCCAGAGCCACTCTTCCCCGGAATCTTTGAGGGAAAATGAGAGAGGTCAGAGGTGCTAATACTGTGTGACACCCCCCTAGCACCCTTGAAAGGATCTCAAGGCACCCCAGTGTGGTTGAGAATCACTGCACTAGGCTCAGACCTGGGATAGAGAGTCTGCATTTTCACTCTTTACCTTCCTGTCTCTGGCAATCCATTTGATGTTGTCAGAGCCCCTTCACCATCCCAGCTAAGAGAACACAATGTACAGCCAGCACAATTAATGGATACAGTGGTCAGTACCGAGGAATCAAGAGGCCTTGGGGTGGGAAATAGAATCCTGCAGCACATGGGAACACAGAGATTACTTAAAAATAAGTTCCCCAAATCTTTACAAATGCAGGATTTAAGGTAGCCTAGTGGATGGAGCCTCATACCCTTTCAAAAGGTGGAGTGGCTACAAATAAGTTTCTGAAAGCTAAGAGCTACAGGATTAAGGCACTGGCCATCCATGTAACAAACTCTGCCTTGGAGCAAAGCTCCATCACGCCAATAATCCACATGAGCACCCAGCCCTCAGCTGCCACAGAATACTAGAACAAGAGCACACGAGCACTGAAAGATGCACTAAGGCAGAGATGGCCAATCTGTGGCACATGTCCCACAAGCAGCATGGACAGCCTTTGTGCATGGCACACAGGAGATTGGGGAGAGGGCAGGGCATGAACACCACATGCCCCCAGAGGCTGGTGGTGGGGGCATGGTGAGCTCCCGCAGGCGGCAGCAGCACTGTCAGCAGTGGGAGTGTGGCGGCGGTGAGCAGTGAGCTCCCACAGGCGGCCAGTGCTGTTGCGGGGTGGGGGACAGGGGGAAGCTGCCTGTTCCAAGCTCCCTGTTGGCCTGTCACACTTCCCCTGCAGGTGGGGGCAGCAGCAAGGGGCACAACCCTGTGCTGCTGCCCACAGTGCTCCCGTGCACACAGGGGAAGTGTAGCAGTGCAGTGGGGAGCAGGCAACTTTCTGCGCCCCCTGCTGCACCAGGTTCCAATGCTGCTTTGCATCGGCAGTGCTCCCCGCTGTGCTTCCTTCCCGGAGCCCAGGGCCAGGTCTGGGTCTGGGAGGCAGCTGGGGCTGGGGCAGGGTGGAGAGGCAGCAGATGTTTGCAGCTGGCCCAGGTTCTGGGTAGCTGCTGACAGCCACAGAGCACAGGCTGGGGGGCAGGGGCTTTGGGTGGGGGTCACAGCCCAAACATTCAGTGCATCCAGACACTATAGTGCATGCAGATAAATAATCAAATTCAGAACTGGAACACAACACAAAACAACTGCCAGTTCCCCAAGTCCTTCCTCACATTTCCTTGTTATAGAATTGGATGTGGAGGCCAGAGAGAACTGTTAGATCATACAGTCTCATCTCCTGTATAAGAAAGGACAAAGAATTTCATCTCTGACTCCTGTAATAAACCTACTATCCTGTGCTGGAGCATCTTTTAGTAAGGCACCTAGGGCTGTTTTACATGTATAAGTGCTGCAGCACTTATATGCACTTGTATAAGCGGTGACACGCACGTCAGCACGAAGAAAATGGCGGTGGTGCGCTTTTGAACTATAGTACCTTGGTTGTGCTTTTGAGCTAAAGTGCACCGCTGCCATTTTCTGCATGCTGATGTGCATTTTGTTACTTATACAATTACACATGGCACAGTGTGCATCAGCTTGCATTAATCATGTCTGCTCCAAAATGGAGGATCTCCGGGGCGTCATGGGACAAAAAGGTAGGTGTATAAATGCCCTACGTCTTTACTTGAAGACTTACGGTGGAGAATCAGGTGCTTCCCTAGGTAGTTTGCAAACTGTTGCCCCACTTCAGAGAGTTCAGGATGTGTTCAGAGGGCGGCATACACTGTAACCTGGTTTCAGAAACTGGATGCCAAGTTATTCCCTTGGCACATTCTGGAAATGCACGATATAGTACTGGGCAACTGTAACTTTATTAAACATTTTGGTCCCTATTAGAAAGATAAGAACTTGCCTTACTATAGCGAAGGACCTACCTAATTTGTGCTGGCTGCCCACTGATTTTGAGGGCAGAACATAGAGCTCAACAGTCATTTCATGGGTGGAGCGCAGGGAGCCCCCCACACCTCTGGTTGGCTGTAAGGGCTGTCTGCTATACAGCCCTGCCCCTTGCTGCCAACTGGAAAGGGGCAGGGCCGCATCACAGACAGCCCTCGCAGCCAATCAGTGGCAAGGAGTGAGCGCCATCTTGCTGCCAGCCCCCCACCCCACTTCCCTGCCCAGGCAGGCTGCCACAGAGTCTGAAGGGCTGCTGCTGGCTCCTTCTGAAGAGCTGGTATTTTATTTTCCATAAGTCCCCCCTAAGGATTTTGCAGGCATTGCCTGATTTTGTGGGCAATGACATTTTAAAGAATCTGTGAAATCACAAATTTGGTAGGTCCCTAACTACAGCGGTTTTCAAACTGTTCTGTGGAGCCCTGGAGTAATGGTGTAGGCCAGGAGGCAGCGCACCATCATTCCTGGGCTGGGTCACCTGGCTCCGTGTCAGTCTTTAGGATAGAGGTAAGGGCTCCACAGCAGAAGAAATGACATGAAAGGGTTCCATCACCTGAGGAAGTTTGAAAACCACTGCCTTATTAGATGAGACCCATGGCACATTTAGTCCAGTGTCCTGTCTAACAACAGCCAGCACCACCTGTAACAAATGAAAATACCCGGTAGCAGGCAGCTCTTGAATGTATCAGGCCCTAGAAAGATTTCCTAGTCCCCAGTAGTTATCATTTAGCTTCTGTGAGGGCTTCTATCTCATTCCAAAGCTGCTATTTGTTTTCTATTTTTGATATGTATTATAAGGAGAGCCAAAGTCCCTAATTATCAATACCCATGCCTATTTTCCTTGGGTCCTACTAATCTCTTGCAATTTATTCTGAATTGCTGAACTAAACTCCAAAATAAAACTTGCACATTAAGACTATCTTCTCCAGTCATCACTATACTGCCCTAGCAGCCTCCTACAAATGACTATACCTACATGTCTACTACAGAGAAATATTCCACCGACTTCAGGAGTTTGTGCATACACAGTATTCAGTACTGACCTAATTCTCTCAACTGAGGTCAGTTAGAGTTTTTATCATCAATGTAATGGAAGAAGAATTAAATCAGCAATGAGCATTACTGAAAATTTCACTGATTTTGAGTTAATCAAGATCCTATCTGAGGTCAGAGAATTCTGGCTTTAAGCCAAAAGGCAACTGAAATTTTCTGCAATTGATCATAGGCTTTTCTAACTCCAAAACAAGAGAATTCTGCTTGGCGGGATCTTGCTGCTCTAGGGTGCCTATGCACGAGCAGGGAGGCTGCTCCCAGGTGCTGTAATTTAGAACGTCAGAGAAGACTCAATTAATTGAGCCTGCTGGAGCATGGCAATTACAGTGCTCCAGCAGCCTCCTGCATCAGTGTCTCTATGCTTCAAAATGGCAGCAAGGATGCTTTATCTAATGCTTGTTTGACAAGCTTTAGATAAAGTGCCCCTGCTACCATTTTTTAAGTGTGGGGATGCCGATACATGAGATGCTCCAGATACTTTAATTAGAGCAGCTCTGGGAGCCGCTCTAATTAAAGCACCCCCCCCCCGGGGGGTGTATAAATGTCCCTACTTATTAATCTGTAACCTCCACTCCTCTTTCTGTTTTTCTCACAATTTGTCCCAGGGACTCAGTTGTTATGCAGTTAATGGCCTCCCTTCTTGCCACTGAGGACGACTTAAGATTTCCTGGTCCAGACCCACTGTGCCTGAAAAACAAATAGGCCTGTCTCCGACAGTGGCAGTAGTGGATGCTTCAGAGCAGCAAGCCACAGACTAAGCCCCACACGCTCCCTAAATGCCACTCTGATCCCCTTTCCCTTGCCCTGCTTTTGCTCCCTGCCCCGTGTTCCCTGCCTTGGAACAGATCTACTCCTCTGCTTTCTTCTCCCTGCCCTCTC